TTCTTGAGGGGCGACCACTTTTTAATGCAAGGAGAAAACCACAGACATCCGCATCAGAAATCCAAGAGAAATGTTGTCCAAAAACCCACTGTTGCTGGAGGAAGATTACTATCAAGAAACAACAATTTTGGAAAAATAAATAGATTATAAGGAGTTGAATCGAAATTATATCATTCACAGCAATCAGATCAAGTGCGATTTCAACATATAAAGCCAGTTTTAACAATAAAATCCGATAATACCTTTCAATTGTGTTGATGAGAAGTTGAGTAGAAATCACTGCAACACAAGATAAATTGGTGCCAAGGAGTGATGAATATGTCGCCCTCTTTGCCTCTTCCCCAAATTTTAGCTTAACACCGAGGGAGAGATCCTTAGCGATTGGCCTTGTCCTTGTCCTTGTCCTTGTCCAGGTGTCCTCTTTGAGACTTGAACAGGCATGGCCGCATGGGTTATAGTTGGATATACATGCCTTCTAATTGGGCTTTACAAGATTTTTTTCCCATTTACACTCGGCCCTAATTTTAATCTACTCAATTCAAAATTAAGGTTTTTTTTTTTTTACGAATATGTGATAATTTAATTTTTCTAATATTAAATTAATCTACACGACCACCCATATTCAATTTCAATCCAAACCTTAGATAATTTTCTTTCTTCGTTCTCTATCTATTCTCTCCATTCTCTCTCCCCTCTATTCTACAAAATACGGAGAGATGGAGGATGTGGTAGTGGATCACGATAGCCCGGCGAGATTCTATCTTCAAACTCAGTTTTATTTCTCTTTCTCTTACTTCGTTTTTGTAAGCTTCATAGGTCTTCTATTGTTGCTAAAATCAATGGAGATTTACACAAGGCCACTCACATTTCTCGAAATTGATTATTTATCCACCGCCATTGAAACTAGTCCTATTATCTTTCCTTGCCATTTTAAAGTAGTATTTGTCAATTTTGACCCAAATTCTTATACGACCGATCAATTCCCTTAAAAAATTTCGTTCGGATCCTTTGTCACTGTCTCGATCTCGAATGGCAATGTGAAAGCGTGAAGCTGTCATTCTTAAAAGGCAATTATGGTAGAACACTTTTCACTGCATGTACGCAAGATGTCAACAACAATATCTTCATATTAGCATTTGGCATTGGTGATTTAGAAACTAACGATTCATGGGAGTGGTTCTTAATTATGTTCAAAGAAGCTTATGGTGAGCGTGAAGGATTGTGTATACT